GCTCCTCATTGAAACCCGGGCTAGCGAGCTGGGATGCCTGGGCTCTCGCATCAGGCTTGCCGTTAAATTGGCAGATGGCACTGGCTGATAACTCCTGGCACTTCTCCGGTGCGTGTCTCCAGTGGAGAGTGTCGTGTGTCCTCGGGGGTTGACCGTTGTTCCTGCTGTACCGTAAGATTGATGATGGTACCTGGCACTCCATCTTTGTACCTTCAGAGTTACCCGGTGTCACTCTTCCTTTCTTTTCCTAGAGAGTTTACTGCGGTCACGAATACACGATCAACAATCTTAAGTTTGCTCGACATGTTGAACCCGATAACGTCACTATCCAAGAAAAGCTTGCTTGGGCCAAGGTAAGCTGGTTCATCCTTGCCGTAGACTTGATGCCTTCATGGAGGCAGAGCCTCTCTGAGGAGGCAGAGGAGAGAAGACAACGTTGGGGAGAAGGAGCGGCTGAGGGAAGGGAGATAGGAGCCAGGAGCTGCAGGATGTTGTGCATCCAGGGGAACCATGTCTTGGGGAACAGGGTTTGTGTGTGGCCCAGAGAAGACGGTTTGCTGTCTGGTGGAGACGTGATCCTGCCTGGAAACTTCTTGGTATAATTACCCTGGAAACTTCTTGGTATAATTACAGGCTGATGTCCCAAGCCTCTCTATGCGTACCTCAGTGCTTGTCTGTCCGGCTGCGTGCACGGCCCTGGGAAGGGCCTGGCCTGAGGAGCAGCTCAAGCAGTTAGGCGCAGCACTAACCCTGCATGGTTAATCTGTAGGACATTTTGTGTTCACCAAAACATTCCTGATGAAGCAGAAATCTCTCCCTTGTTACAGGCAAAGTATGACAGCGGTGAGCCAACCATACCCTCCACCATTGCAGAAGAGTTTACGTACAACCCCTTCATGCGAGTGAGGTACGGGGGAGATGTGGGTGTGGGATGATCCTCATGTTTGGAGGGGGGGCGTGGGAAGGAGGAGGTCTCCAAAGAGCGAGCCATAAGTGCATTTGCTCTCCTGCCTCGCATAATCCTGTTCTGATGCCCTCAAGACCCTCAAAATAGACTTGCTGTCCTGATGGAAGCTTGCTGCAGTGAAATTTGAAGGGTTGTGGTGAGCATCTCTGCCAGTGCTGAAGTCCCTGACTCAGGAGACAGAACAAGCTTCGTTGTGTAATTATGTTCCTTCATCAAGCAGAGTTTGGCAGACAGGCGCAGCAAAAGATGCTGTTCAAGGCGTAAGAGTGTTTGCAATTTCCTCTTGCCAGTGAGCACTTAAACCAAGGGAGCTGACAAGCCTGTGCCAAAGCCCTGAGCCTTTGATCCTTAACTGCGACATTTCCCCTTGATGCAGGTGAAATGGGAAAGTAGATTTTTATCTTGCAGTCTTTGCATTTGCTGTCCCTGGTGTTCCCTCCTGGCAGGGAGAAGACAGTTCAGCAGCATGCTGGGGAGACCGACCCCATCCGAACCATGGGGGCCATCAGAAAAGAGAAGGATAACTTCCGAGTCCCGAAGGACTGAGCACTCTGCCTGGGTCACTTTAATGTCAGTTTAGGTGTAATTTAGACTATTCAGATGTTTTAGGAGTTGAACCTTCTGTTGTGGTTGAGACAGTCATATTTAGGTTTTAGTTTTGTTTTAATTAAGGAGAAAAAAAGCACTTTGCCCTTGTTGAGATGTTCTACGGCATATTTATATTATGATGAAGAATATTTATCCTTCTATTGCTGGCTCTCAAACTGTCACGTGAGTCACATGCAGATCATTTGACAAGCGTTGGTACGTGGCTCGGAGTCTGGGGTGGGGAAGGGTCAAACCTTGAGGTCTAGGAAAAAGCTGCTGTTATTTTTGTAGGAGCCTGATGCGAATGCAGACAGTGGGCCTGGGGCCCGAGATGTCTTCATTTAGGACAGAGACAAAATGCAGTAACTACGTTGCCAGCTGAAGATTTGAACTTTGCTTCCATGCTGCTACTTAAACGCTTCTGAGTCTATCGCTTCTGGCTCCACTAAAACCAGTTCTCGGTGACAGACCTGCTCTGCCAGCGCCGGTTCAGGGCTTGGTTTGTGACACAGGCAGGGCCGTCTGGCTCTGGGAATGGCCCACGGGGACAGCCCAGCTTTTCTCTCCTCTCTGACGTTCCCTGTCGCGGACTGCGGTAACTTCTCCAGGCAGCACGCTGGCTTAGAGATCGCACCGTTGCTTGTACCCTTTCACTCTTAACCTGAGCCTGTTTGCATGTACCTGCTTACTGCTCTGAAGTGTGATCCGTGGGTTACTTGTGTTAGTACCACGCAAACGAAGAAGGGATTTGGCTGCTGGTTCAAAATCCTGAGAAGCAGCCGCTTTCCTAGTGACCAACTGCGTGTCCCACAGCTGAGCAGCGATGGGGCTCCTCCGACAGACGCCTTGCTGCCCATAGCCAGAGCAGCTGCTTGTGCCTCGCTGTGAGTAACGTGGCAAACGCGTTTTTTATGAGCTGGGCGCTGTTCCCCAGCGAGACCGTGGCTGTTCTGGTGGGCACGGGCAGTAGCCGAGATGGGCTCCCGCGTAGGGACCTGACTCACGGCATGCTGCTGGGCTCCATCGCCCACCCCGTGGCCTCTGCCTGGTCCGGCCTCCCTGCGAGAAAAGCCACGGAGGTGACGTTATAAATGGTGAGGGTGTCCATGTATTGCCGGATTAAACCGGGTGCCGATCTCAGACCCCCTGAGAAACCATGTTAGCGTGGCACGTTTCTTTTTCTTGGTCGGTCCGTGGGGTTTAAAAGCCGCCTCTGTTCCTGGACCAGTGCTGTATGACCCTGGTCTGCAGCCAGCTTGAAAACCGCAGGGAGGGAGCTTTTCCTCGGGCTGCTTTTCTGATGGGGAATAGTGTGTCAAGGTGGATGGACGGGATAAACTTCGGGGGAAAATAAATCCAGATTTTCAGTGAGTGAGGCACCCCCCTCCTGCACTTCCCATCCTCCGGTGTCTTTAAACAAGGGAGATGGGAATGACGGGGGACAGGTCCCAGCCTTGCGGGCTTGGCATCTATCTGGGTCTTTAATGCATTTTCCTCCTAACTTCATTTTCTTCCTTGTTTTGTGGTCTCAGCTGCACGCTGCAGATCTGCTCAAGCACAAGAGATTTTCAAACAAATGTTTTGCAGCTGGAACTAACAAAAGATTGAAATGATTTCTGGTTCCAGTTTCTCCCCTCTCCCCGGGGCATGTTGGTAAGTAATGCCACCACCGAGGCCGTCACCACCGGGGTGTCCCGGCCGGAAAAAAAGTGGTCCGTTCCTCCGACCAACACGCTGAATGGCAGTGTGAGAGTGGGATTTGGTGTCGCGCCATTTCTTTATTTGCTTTAAAAAGGTAAATTTTATGTAGTTCAGAAAGAAAAGTGGTACCTAAAACTTCTACTGCCTCCTTAACTTGAACGCGGTGCTGCTACAACGGCGCGTGACTGTACTGATGTCTGTTTGGCAAACGAGCAAATAAATCGCAGCTGTAAACCCAACACCCGTGGGGCGGTCTGGGACAAGGGCGTTTCTTTATCTCACAATTTTATTTGTTTTATTTTATTTTTTTTGTACTGGGGATTGAAGTCAACTGACTGGAAGCATCTTTCTTATCCTGGGTGGGGGAGCGGGCGGCATTT